GTTAGACAAATTTGTATTTCGAAAAGGAAATATTCCTTCATGAAATACGACATTTCGAGAAGTAACAATCTTTTGGCTTTGCAGCACATAAACATGATATCCCTTTACACCTGGAGGATAACCAAGGAACACCGCAGGTAAAGCTCGAGCTGAGAACTTATCCTGTTGGGACTTCAATGTAGAAACGAAACAAAGACAGCCAAAAGCTCGTAGCCTGCTGTAATCTGGTAGATGACCATATAAGACTTCATAGGGGGATTTATTGCTTAATACAGGTGATGGAAGTCTATTAATTAAGTATGTGGTAGTGAGTAAGCAATCACCCCAAAACTTGATTGGCACCTTTGATTGGAAATATAAAGCACGAGCAACAACGAGCAAGTGTTGATGTTTTCTTTCAACTACAAAATTTGTTGGGGTGTTTCCACACATGAGAATTGATGAAGTATACCTAAGCTAGTGAACAATTTAGTAAATTTTAATTCAGGAGCATTGTCAGACCTGAAGGACTTTATATCAAGTTCAAATTGTTTTTTAATCATTGATATAAAAGCAGGTATAATTGTATTGAAATCAAACTTATGCTGCAATAAGTAGACTCAGGTAGATCTTGAGAAATCATCGGCCAAGGTTAAAAAAGAAGTCTGACCATAATATGTTTTGTGCTTGTAAGGTCCCTATATGTCACAATGGACTAACTCAAACAATCGAGTAGTATGAGAATAAGAAACTGGGAATGACAATCTTTGTTGCTTGGCCAATGGGCAAACTTGACAAGAATCTTTCATTTTTACATTCTTTAAAACCAAAACATCTTTGAGAAGATGCATAACATGAAGACTGGGATGACCCAACCAATTGTGCCAGTCACTAGACAAAATGCTAGAAACATTATTACATGAGATATTAGTTTTGAATGAGGACATTTGCAACAAATAGAGTCATTGGACTAGCTCACCCTTCTCAATCACTTGATGAAGGTCCTGAATTAAGCAACCCGTTTTGCAAAACAACACACTAAGATCAGAGAATTTCAACAATGCACTGACTGAAAGCAAGTTGAATCAAAAATATCGAACAAACATTACATCATGTAACACAAAATCAGATGTAAACCGAACTGTGCCTGCAAAGCTGACTGGAATGGTGGATCCATTAGGTAAATTGATTGAACAACTCATTATAGAAAATAATGATTCAAAATTGTTTCTTGAATAACATATATGTCTTGAAGCTCTCGAGTCTAAAATCCAGTAATCAGATATTCCAGCACCTGAAGCAGTTATGTGTGATATGATCTTACCTTGCATGGCAATGTTGATTGAAGTAGTGGGAATGTCCAAAGAGGATGCAGATTGTAACTGAGAGGTAAGCATATCAATCAACTGCTGACATTGTTAAGGAGTAAAGGCTTCAGTAACAGTAGAAGAGCCTTGTTGAGAAACCACATAATTGGTATGGATGACTTGAGAATTTTTACCACGAGAAGAATTCGAAGAAAACCAATTCTTGGAGTTATAACCAGGTGGATAGCCAATCAGTTTATAACATCTATCCTTTGTATGACCAAGAAGGTTACAATGACTGCACAAAGGTTTGTTCTTATGAGTGTTGGTGCTAGGATGAGTTTTGACAGTAAAAGCATACTCAGAAATGGGATGAAGAGATTGCATGTTTCTTTGATTCTCTTCTTGAACAATTAGAGAAAAAACTTTTGAAATGGGGAGGATCAATTAAAAGAATTTGTCCCCTTATATGAGCATAAGACTCATTTAGCCCCATTAGGAATTGAATAACTTGTTCTTATTGCTGTTCAGCAAGCATGCGTTGTACTCCTCCACAATTGCACTGAAGACAACTGCATAATTGCCGAATTGAGAATAGTTCATCCTAAACAATTTTCAGCTGAGTATAATAATTGCTTACTGATAGTTTATCTTGCGTGAGCTTGCACAATTGTTTCTTTAAGTGAAATAAACGTGGTCCATTCGATTGCTGGAAATGATCAACCAAATCTTTCCACATTTCAGCAACAGTCGTATGGTATAGTAAACTGGCAGCAATGTCTTTGGAGACTGAATTGAGGAGCCAGGAATTAACCAGATTGTTGGCTCATGTCCAAGCATTTAACTGGTTTACCATAGATGGGTCAGGAGCTTGAATGGAACCATAAATGAAACCAAGTTTGTTCTTGGCAGATAAGGCGAGCATCATTGATCTTTTCCAGCTGTGAAAATTATCATTGGAAAGTAGCTGGCTTACTAATATCATACCAGGATTATCAGACTGGTGCAAGTAATAAGGATTTGCCCCATTGTCGAAACTATCATTTATCGATTCAATCATGATGAAGCGTGAGAAAATAGATACAAGACTTCTGATACCATATAACAATCAAGAATGATGTAAATGAATAATGCTTTTTCATATATTCAAGAAGGATTGCAAGGCTGGTTTATATACATCTATAAGATTAACTAACAAACAGAATTACAACAGCTAACTAATCAGCTAACTAATAAACTAACTTGAACTAATTGAGCTAACTGATAACTAACTAATTACAAACAACAATGTAAGCTGATATATCGAGCTGATATATCCTGATAACCAACCAATGAGAAAAGCACGGAGAGTAGTGTGAATCGAGGTAATTTCTCAATTATCTTACGTTTCTCAAGAGTCTTAAATCATTTGATTAATGCAAAACTTCCCCAGATGTTGTGCACACTAGAGTTGAGACAGAGAAGTGAATTTCAGTGATCAAAGCTTGGGAAGAGAATGAGAACACCAAAGCTGAGAACAAGTATCAACTTTCTTCACCTCGGTTTTTCTTCTTCTTAGAAATCATACCTTTTAAATTGGTTTTGTTTTGTGAATGAACTTTTAAGTTGATTCAAACTGTTTGAGTAGAGCCTACAAAAAGCTTTCTTCAATCTATGCATGGAAGAATAACAAGAAAGCTGCTCTGGAAGCTGAGCTGAAAAGGATTGAAGTAAAGAAGAAGAAGAAGAAAAAAGGGGTTTTAAAGGAAGTTAAGTGTCATGTCAGCAAAATTTAATCGGAGGTAACGACAGGAACTGATTTAAAACGAATTAAAAGTTCAATGACTGAATTATAAGTTTCAAAAGTTAGGTGACCAAAATACAAATATCCTAAAAGTTAAAGGAATATTTATATACTTTACCCTAAAATTTATATCAAATAATTCAAAAAATAAAAATAAAAAACTTATCCTTCCATAAAATTGAAGAAGTTGCTAATACTACCGTTATTGTACCAAATAATAATATTTCTATAATGTACGCAAACATACAGAAGTTTATTTTTAATTTATTAAGTAATTTTAATGGTTAAATAAATATTATTTTTTTAGAAATCTTGAATTCAAATAATTATATCTCTAAAATGTGTACGTTATCAATAATTAAAAATAATTAAATATTATTTTATAATCCTATCAAATTATTAAAAAAATTACATTTTAACTCAAAACTAGGTAAAAAAAAAAGCCAAATCATACAAACGAAGACCACTTAATTAATGACATAGAAAAGGGGCGTTGAGGAAAACAGTTCTATATAATCTTTAATCCGCCAAAAAGCCCAAAGGGAAATGGTGGATTATAAATTTATAATCAAGGCTTTTATTTTGAGTTTTAGCATAGAAAAGGGAAAGTTCATGGGGAACTCGAGCAGATACAATTCTAACCTAATAATACTAAGAAACAATGTTTCAAACACTTTATTGTTAATTTGAACATATATAAAATAGAACTTATTCAATAATATTAGTGATGAATGAGAGTATTATTTTCCCTAAATCTTAAATTTAAATAATTGCATATGTAGAATACGTATACGGTAAAAAATTAAATTAATCTAGTCGTTTTCTTCCTCCTCTTTTTTTTACCTTTTTTTTCTTCATTACAACTTGTGTCAATTTTATTGATCAATCCAACTTTTTCTTCTTTAGTTTTGTTTAACTGGCGGCAATACCGGTTTTAATGCTGGTTGCTACCCGTTGATTATCTTTTTTTTAGTTTTTTTAATAAGAATAATTATATCTTTGTGACATGTTTTATGCCTTTATGACACGTTTATCTCTGTCTTTTTGGCATACTTTTCTCTGTCTTTGTGGCATGCTTTTCTCTGCCTTTTGGTAGCTTACAGTTTTTTGCCGTTGTTTACGGGTTTTTTTTACCGTTGTTTTTGTTTATCTTTTTTCTCAGCGTGGATTTGACATTGCCATAACTGATCAAGAGGCGCTTGTTTGTTATCATTATGATATTCCCTGCTTTGGACCCTAAGATGGATTTGGATACGCGTTTTACATTCGTGGATAGTTTTCTCACGTTGCTTAACTCTAATTTGTGATTTATCGGTGGTCTTTCAGTAGCTTCATCATCTTTTTTGGTTCGTTTATCGATACAGTCAGATTTGTTCATACATTTATTTTATTCGAGTTTTTTTGTTAGATTTTTTAACATTTTTCTTCTTTGGTCCTTATGTGATCTAGGAGGCTAGTTTTTATCTCAATGATAATAAGAAAATGTAATGATTATATTTTAGGTTTACGATTATACTTATAAAACTTTATTGTAATTTTTTATATTTTCTATTTTTAATAAAATTAACTATTTTCTATAAAAAAAAATAGAATATGTGTACGATCCAAATAAGTTAATAATAATAATAATAATTTATATCGTAACAATAATAATTTCTGTGAAGACCAAAGTGGCAAAAGGGTGGTAATTTCTGGCTATATAAAACACTAGGTTATCTTAAATATGTGCATGAACAACTCTCTCCTTGAGCACAACAACTAAACAGTCCACACACAGAAGAATCAAAAGCTTATAGGAGAAGAAAAACTTAGCCCAGTCAAAACCCTAAAATAATAATAAAAACAAAAAGGCAGAGATGGCACAATAATCTAATGAAAAGAATAAAAATTATATATATATATAAAAAAGCAGCCTTCTCCTGCTGCCTCCTCCCTTTAATTCTCCTTTTTCTCTTTGGTCTCTGGTATTCCCTTTGAGTGATTCTCCACCTTGTTTTTCTCAAAGAACCCATCAACTTTTATAAAAGAAGACACAGCAAATTATATTTAGCCATGGTTTCTTCATCTCTTCCAGTCTATATAGATCCTCCCTATTGGCAGCAGGTAAGGGTTTATTTTTCTTTCTTTTCTTCATCATCAATTTCTGTCCACAGCTTCTGCACCCAAAATGAAAGCAATATACGGGAAGATAATTATTCATATTCCTTTGTGATCTTTTCTTCCCTGAATATACCAAATATATTTCTTCTTTACAGTTATGAGATTACCTGGGTTTTATTTTTGCAGCCGCACAATGATCAACAAGGAACCGGAAGCACCGAGAATCCTGAGCTTCCACCTCCTGGAGCTGGTGGTGGATCCATTAGACCCAGTTCGATGGAGGATCGAGCCAGGCTAGCCAAGCTTTCACAGCCAGAAGCCGCCCTCAAGTGTCCAAGGTGTGAATCCACCAACACCAAATTCTGCTACTTCAATAACTACAGCCTCTCTCAGCCACGCCACTTTTGCAAGACTTGTCGGCGGTATTGGACCCGAGGAGGAGCCCTTAGAAACGTGCCGGTAGGCGGGGGTTTCCGGAGAAACAAGAAGAACAAAAGAAGTAGCTCGAAATCATCAACTTCGACGGAGAAGCAACCCGGGTCGAATCCATCTGATCAAATCACTGCTCATTTGCAGCAGCAATCACCTCATTTACCCTTCATGGCTACTCTGCAAAATTTTTCTCAGTATGGCTTGGTGAACACTGGGTTCAACTTTGGTGGAATTCAGAGTCAGATAGAGACACCAAGTGGAACTAGTGGACAGGCTGATATGGGGTTTCAAATAGGAACCCATCAGCAGCTGCTGCAGCAGCAGCAGTTCCCTTTCTTTGAACAAACTAATGGTGCTTTATATCCATTTCAAAGTGAGGGTTTGGAAGCACCGTCGTCTTCTAGGGTTTCTCAGGTAGATCCAGTGAAAGCTGACAGCAACCAGAGGCTAAATCTATCAGAAAATAATCAGTATTGGGGAAGAAATAATTGGACGGATTTATCAGGTCTCAACTCTTCCACTACTAACCATCTCTTATAAGCTACTTTCAACCTTCCTTGAAGCTTTAATGGCGGCTTTATTGACAGATATTTCACATCAAAGTTGACAGTGAGGAACTTGTTTTCATCGTCATCTACCGAAAGGAAAACAAACGATTGGTAGAATTAATGTTGTTTCGTACTATATATTTCGGGGTTTCCTTTTTCTTTTGCATGGGCTTGTTTACAACTTCAATCATTTGTGTGTGTATGTGAAGTTTTGGGATCTGTTATTTGACATGATAAGCTAATTTTCTTTGTTAAATATCCTCCGAGCTAACTTCATTGCCCTCGTGTCTATGTCTTCTTATCGCATATATAACTGTTGGGGATCAACATTGTTGTTTTAGTTACATAAAATCATTGTTCCTATGCTATGCATATTCCTGATTCTTAAAAGAAACTTGTTGGAATTGTAGCTGAAGAAAAGCTTATCAAGTCATCTGCATTTTAGTTTAGCTTCTCATCCGAAAAATAGAGAAAAAAAAAATCTCCAGAAAATACTACAAACTCTAGCATGTTTATGAACTTAATAGATTCGTCCACTTTTCATAATGGCATCTCAGCGGCAGCGCCTGTTGATTATCAAATTTTGATTCCATCTCCATTTAAATTTCCAGCAAGTAATTTCAGTTCAAATTATTTTTAATTTGAGTTTGAAGTTTATATATATACACTATACAATAAACCCAAAAGAAAAGTATACATCATCCTTGGTTTATAATTGACAAACATCAAGTACTAACCATTTTCTTAATCAAGTTCTAGTTGTTTAGAGTTTAATTTATGTTAGCTTTAGATGATTTAAAAGTTAAATTGTTTTTGAATTAAATTAAGGGTAAAGTATAGTAATGGTCACTGAACATTTCTGAAGCTTGCATTTAGGTCTCCCAACTTTTAAAACTTGCAATACAGTCCCCTAACATTTATTCCGTTTGCAATTAGGTCCCTCAACTTAAACCACTGTTAGAAAATTAGGGTAACGGTCATTGAACTTTTTAGGCACTTGAATTTAGGTCTCCCAACTTTTAAAACTTGTAAAATAGTCCTCAATTTCATTCTAAACCCCAATTTCTAAAGTAATTCAATTTTATTCTAAACCCTAAATTCCAAAATAATTCAATTAAATTTTAAACCCCAAATTCTAAAATACTTCAATTTAAGGTTTAGAATGTAATTGAATTATTTTGGAATTTAGGGTTTAGAATGAAATTAAGGTGTTTTGAAATTTTGAACATGAATTTACTATTTGACAATATTTATTTCAATATAAATTTGAGGTTTGTTTAACTATTTATATCAATTTTGAATAACAATATGCATTGATTAAACATCCCGAATAGCAAAATGGAAGCACTCTATTCGGTATTTCAACTTCCCATAAACTCTGCTCATTTCTTCAACTTTTGACTATATGAAATTCGGAACACTCATTTGGAGCATTATGATTTAAGTACCACTATGTTCTTGCATGCTATTTTTTTTATCAGATTTGAGTACCTAACCCTTCAGTGCTTTACAGTGCGATCATTTATGATTCACCTGAATTTGCTCATACAGTGATCATTTATGATTTAGGAGAATCAATAGTTTAGAATGAAATTGAATTACTTTAGAAATTGGGGTTTATAATGAAATTAAGGACTATTTTACAAGTTTTAAAAGTTGGGAGACTTAAATTCAAGTGTCTGAAAAGTTTAATGACCGATTATATAATTTACCCTAATTTTCTAACAGTGGTTTAAGTTGGGGGACCATATTGCAAACAGAATAAATGTTAGGGGACTATATTGCAAGTTTTAAAAGTTGAGGGACCTAAATGAAAGCTTCAAAAATGTTCAGTGACCATTACTATGCTTTACCCTTAAATTAATTTATGTTTAAATTTAATAAATAAATCAAATCCATTGAATCTTTAAGTTTAAATGAGATTCTTCATCGTCCCCAAGAAAATACATTCGCCCGCGGGCCATGCATCAAATTTTGTGCACAAATAATACATGATTTTCCTTATCTTTTTATTACAATAAATTTATACATACTTGTGAGATATTAATGAGTTTGAAGTGAAGCTAAGATATGGGATCTTAGAAAACATAAAAATGATACCCTTATTTAAATAAGGATGCATCAAAGAGGGTGGTTGTGACATTTGTTCTCTTAAAATTTTTAAATTCTTTTAAATTTTTTATGTTTTTCTACTGATAATTTATTTTTGTTCCTTTAAAATTTTATAAATTCATTATCTTTTAAAATTTTATAAGTTCATCGCCTAACAAAAAATTATGCGTCCACCCCTACTTAAAAACCATGCAATTTTCAAATAAAAGTATCCTGAAGCAAAGCGAGTGAAATATTATAGAATTTATAAAAAGAATAATATTGCTAATGTTTTTGAGTATTGTATGACTTTGGATATGGAAGGCTGAAAAGAGGAGAAGCCTTTTAAAAACACACATACAATTTATACTGTGTAGAATGGATTCAAATGTGAAATTATGAGTAATTAAAATATTGTGTTTTAATAGGATAAGGTATTAATTTTTTTTAACAATATTAAGAATTTGAATCATAATATCAATAAATGGGACTATAATCTCATAATGAACTTTTATAGTATTCAATTTGAATTGATCGATCAATAAATTATAAATATTAAGTTAATATATTTATATACACTAATAGAGATTATATTAAAATATTGAAAAAGAAAAATAAAGGGAATCATATGAATGGGGATATATGCCTTTTGCAAGGACCAAGACTACTGGTGCGAATAAAGCAAAATGTGGGGAAGCCATCTCATCTCGGCTGGTTCATAGATCCAAACCTTGAATTGAAGTGACAAAAGCATACAGTAAATAAGTAAGTTTCTGCATGTGATGACGCAAATGTACTGTGGGGGTAACAACTAAATCTTTTGCTTTTTTGGGTGGTAAAGTCGAAGATGGCGCTAACGGTAAACTATGCATTTAGGGGGCTTCTGTTTCATGGTATCTTATATTATCGAGAGAAAGAAATGTCATTTTATTATTTGGTTGACAGACATTCTTGATTTTCGGTAATAAGTTATTCTGAACAGTGGTATTTTGGAGGTATATTACCGAGAATGTGAATATCTCTTTCTTTTAGGGGCTGTTTGGATCGAGGAATGTAGGATTCCTATGAGAATAGAATCCACATTCTCATGTTTGGTTGGCCGGAAATCTCATTTCCGGTAATGTTTTATTACCAATAGTAGATTTTTTGAGGTATATTACTGAGAATGTCATTACATCCATTTATTTAGGTATTGTTGGATTACCGGCATTTTGGACTAAAATGCCCTTAAATTTTTTTCTCAAAAATATCATTCTTCTATCATTGAATAATAAAAATTCTACGAAGGTTAAATTACAAATTTATCCTTAAACTATTTTAGATTTACAAAAAAAAGTCTATAATTAAAATTTTATATGAAATTTAGGGGTTAAAATAAAATTTTACCTTTTCATTAAATCTTTTTATATTGTCAATTTTGAAAAAAATATATATATAAATTTTATGAATTTAAATTTTTTAAAGAAAATATATAAATATTTTTCAACTTGTTAAAAAACAAATATATAATAAGGACAATTTAGTCAAATATACATTCCAATAATCTTTTATTCCTTTAACCAAACACGGTAATCTTACATTCCTGCTAAATTAACCAAACACAAAATACAACATTCCCAGTAATCCTATTACTTGGTAATCTTACATTCTCACTGGTAATCTTACATTCCGTGAACCAAACGCACCCTTAGGTATTGTTACATTCCCGACATTTTGGACTAAAATGTATTTAATTTTTTTTCAAAATTTTTTTCTTCTGTCATTGAATAAAAAAGTATATGAAGATTAAATTATAAATTTATCTAACGTTTTCATTTAATACCCTACAATTTTAATGGCAGAGCTGACGTGATATTTTTCAATTATTTTTAAAATTTTTAAATTATTATTTATAATTTTATTTAATTAATTTTATTTAAAAATAGACGGTGACACGTAATTAAATAGAACAAACGAAAATATAGTTTAAGTGAGGCTCCTGGGATTCTTCGAAAACCAGTAGGCTAAGACACTCAACCATCTGAGATAGGCCAGCAATTGGTATGATTTTGCCAAAATAATATTTAACGTATATTACATTTTTGATATTATTTATAATAGAATATAAATTTTAAACAATTTACAATTTTAAAAATAATTATTATAAAAAATTATTATATCATAAATATTTTAAAATTATATTTATTTAATTATTTATTTTAAAAAATACAGTTTATATTTATTTAATTACTCAAATTTAAATATAAATTTCTAATATACAATTATTGATGAAATAAAAAAAAAATTATATTTCAAATAATTTAAATAATTTTAAGGATAGAATATCAATTTTAATTTAACATTTTAATTGATTATTTAAATAAGTAAATAATAAATTTAAATAGTTGTTTAACTATTTTCTTATTTCAAAATAAAATGAAAATTTATTTTATTTTAATATTTTTATAAGTTAAATAATAATTTTAGTATATATTAAATCAACTCTTAATCTAATTCAGTGGCTAAATATTTGACTATTTTTGTGAAATGTTCTATGTTTGATTCATAGATCTAATAATTTTTTTTTATTTTATAGTGGTAGTTAAATATAAATTAAATAGACACTTTGGTAATATAAGGCAAATGTTCCGTTTAGCTCAAAATGGTTGAGCGCTCTATCTCCCCTGCAGTTGTGCTAGGATTGAATCATCCCCTAAATTTCATTAATTTTCAATCGTTAAATTTAACGGCGGGTACTAAAATGAAACAAAAATTAAACATTAGGTATGATTTTGTAAAAATGAAAAGTTCAAATACTAAAACGTACAAAAAGTGAAACTAAATGAAACAAAAACTAAACATTAGGTATGATTTTGTAAAAATGAAAAGTTCAAATACTAAAACGTACAACAATTGAAACTTTAAGAACTAAATGTGTAGTTTATCGTAAATTTTATGCAAAGAGGGGTATTTGTGTACATAGGCCAATTTATATATTTATTTATTCTTTTCGTCGATCCAACTTGATTGATTGGTCAATTGTTCATCATAATTCTCTCATTTTCTCTTATATCATGAGTTTTAGACTCACTAGTATCACTTTCAGAGACAGTGCACGTTATAGGTGGGAGGAGCAAGGCAATTGTCCCTCCCAACTTTGATGGTTTAATTATATTTTAGGTCATTAATAATTTTAAATCATTACAAATATGATGTTCATCTTAATTCTCTCATATTCTCTTATATCATGAATTTTAGACTCACTAGCATC